TCAGCAGACATGCACACACACATGCACACACACACAAGGCGCCTGCTCTGAAGCTCCACAGTGCAGCTGGGGGCAGTCCCATAGTGGACACACACAAACACACACATACACACACAGAGCGCCTGATATGAGCCTCTGAGGCGCAGCTGAGGGCAGGCCCCCAGTGGACTCACAAACACACACACACACACACACACACACACACACACACACACACACACACACAGGACACATGCTCTGAGTCTCCATAGCACGGCTGGTGGCAGGCCCCGAGCGGACACACACACACACACACGGTGCCTACTCTGAGCATCTGCAGTGCAGCTGGGTTCAGGCCCCCATTGGACACACACACACACACACACACACACGGGGCATATGCTCTGAGCCTCAGTGGCCAGACTGTGGCATAGGCCCGTGGGCCTAAAGTGTCAGTAGGACATTCCCTAGGGCTCCTGGACTGTGAGAAGGGGCATTCTGGGCTGAGAGACCCCCCCACCCACACTGCACGAATTTTGTGCATTGGGGCTTAGTATGGAAATAACCAGAGTGTCCTTTGATAGGTGATTGGATAAAGAAGATATGAAATATATATATATGTATACACACACACACACACACACACACACACAGGAATTCTATTCAACCATAAGAAAAGAAAATACTACCATTTGCAACAAGTGTACAGATCTTGAGAATATCAGGCTAAGTGAAATAAGCCTGATAGAAAAAATCAAGAGCCATGCTATTTCATTCATATCTATCCTATCTAATAAAAGACAAAAAGGGTAATTAACCATACCTCCACTATGCATCCCATTGGCTAATCAGGATAATATGCAAATTAACCACCAACAAAGATGGTGGTTAATTTGCATATGCAGGCTCCAAGCTGTGGAGTGAAGCCAAACAGCCCCGCCACTGAGCAGCGAGGCCTCACCACCCTGGTTTCAGTGGAGCCGCGAGGCCTCCCGGCACTGGGATCAGCAGAGCCGCGAGGCCTTCCGGTCCCTAGAGCAGCGTGACAGGGGGCGGTGCCAAACCCCCGATCAGCCCTGCTCTGTGCCTGACAGGGGGCAGCGCCCCAACCCCCTGATTGGCCGGCTCTGTGTGTGACAGGGGGTGGTGCCACAACCCCCCCATTGGCCCTGCCTTGAGAGTGACAGGGAGCGGTGCCCAATCCCCCAATTGGCCCTACCCTGAGTGTAACTGGGGGTGGCATCGCAACCTCCTGATCCACCCTGCTCTGTGCATGACAGGGGTTGGCGCCCCAACTCCCCAATCGGCCCTGCTCTGAGCCCGACCAGGGGCTGCACCTAGGGATTGGGCCTGCCCTCTGCCACCCGGGAGCAGGCCTAAGCCAGCAGGGCGTTATCTCCCGAGGGGTCCCAGACTGCGAGAGGGCACAGGCCAGGCTGAGGGACCTCCCCTGCCCCCCGAATGCACAAATTTTTGTGCACCGGGCCTCTAGTATATATATATAAAAGGCTAAGCAACCAGCCAAACAGCCAATCAGCCAGTAGGTATGACCCGCACTGACCACCAGGGGGCAGATGCTCAATGCAGGAGCTGCCGAGTGACAGCAACTTTGCAGAGTGCCCTCTCACACTCCAGGACCCCATGGGGGATGTCAGACTGCAGGTTTCAACCGGATCCCCACAGGCCAGGCCAAGGGCTCCCACCTGCTGGAGGGAACTCGCTCACTCCACAGATGCCCTTCAAGCCCTGGCACTGCCCCAGGTACAGCCAGCTGGGGAGGGACCATGGGTGGTTGGCTCCAGGGCATGTCTGGCCATCTCACCCAGTACCACCCTGCTGGCCACCTTCTAATTAATTTACTTTCAATGTACACAAATCTGTGCACCAGGCCTCTAGTGTGGGATATAAAACTGAAAGCCACAAATGAACAAACAAGAAAGACAAACAAAAACTCATAGACACAGACAGCAGTATGGTGGTTATCAGAGGGAGGAGGTGTGGGGGTAATAAAAGGTAAAAGGGTTCATATATATGGTGACAGAGGAGATTTGTCTTTGAGTGGTGAACACACAATGCACTATACCAGTGATGGTAAACCTAGGACACGCGTGTCAGAGGTGACATGCGAACTCATTTTTTTTGGTTGATTTTTCTTTGTTAAATGGCATTTAAATATTTAAAATAAATATCAAAAATATAAGTCTTTGTTTTACTGTGGTTGCAAATATCAAAAAAATTCTATATGTGACACGGCACCAGAGTTAAGTTAGAGTTTTTCAAAACGCTGACACACCGAGCTCAAAAGGTTTGCCATCACTGCACTATACAGATGATGTGTTATAGAAATGTACATTTGTAACCTATATAATTTTAGTAACCAATGTCACCCCAATAAATTTAATTTTAAAAAATTCAAAAAAAGAAAGGTCATTTGTGGGAAACTGTTTATTGCCTTCACTATCTAATAAGCATAGACAGAGAACCCCCCCGAATGCTGGGTGCCTTTGAAGTCCTAGCAAAGGTTGGAGCTAGGGGCCACCTCTGTTTGTCCAGACAGTGGTAGCTGAAACAACTCCCCCATTTATTATTATGTAAATCCTTGCTGATGGGCTATTCTGCCTGTTGCCAGGGATTGCCTGCCTAAGGGCTATGCTATGGGTGCATCCCAGGATCAATAAAAGCTTGGTGAGGCGTGAGCACGGGAGGAAGTCCTTCCCCTTGAGTTGGACTTGCCCGCCTGGTCCCCCAATATTTCCAATTATCTCTTGTCTTTTCATTTTCATTTGTGTGCGGCTCTGCTTCCAGTTCCTGAACCCTGACCCACGCAGGATGTGGGAAGGAAACCCTCAACAGTCATTCTAGAATGAATTGGTATGGGAGGCTTCATGAAAGAAGTGGGACTCAAGTTGTAATATGTCACTCTTCTCAAATCAGAGGAAAGCCTACAGAACCCGGCTACTTTTCTGACTTCATCTCCTACCACTGTCCCCTCACCCCTCCTCTGACTTTTTCATGTCCTTAAAAATATCAAGTATTTTCCTGTCTCATAAAATCTGCTTTTACTGTTCCCTGTGATTCAAGCGTCCTTTCCTATAATATCTATATACTCACTTCCTATAAGTCTCTGTTCTGTTCAATTTCTTAATATCTTAGAGCCCTTCCCTAATCATGCTATATATAAAATATTAACTCATGCCTCATCCACTTCCTTTCCCCTTATGTGTTTTGGTCTTCATAACAAGACTGTACCTGGCCCAGAGCAGATACTCAAGAAATATGTGTACAATGAATGAATTAATTAAATATGAATAATGGCAGATTCTCCCATTCCAAGCAATGAGAAAAAGCTTGACTAAATGAGCATGAGTACTGTTATCCCCATCTCCTTAGAATAGTGCCCACCTCATAGTAGGGACTTCATAAATCTATTTATATAATAGGCGAATATGCAAAGTGTCCCCACGGGAGTTCAACCAGGAGACGGGGAATTCTATCATTCACTATGATGTGCACTGATCACCAGGGGGCAGTGCAGAAAGAAGAAAGATCCTGGCCGGCAGCTACCGGCCAAGGAAGGGGGGCCCTGGCTGGAAGCCGGAAGGCCCCAATCGGCCATGATCACCAGCCAGGCCTAGGGACCCTACCCATGCACAAATTTTGTGCACTGGGCCTATAGTAGTAAATAAATAATGATGAAATAGAAGCAAAGGGAGACTAATATAATTAAAAGAAGCCTATAACCATCTTCAAAACGAATTCTTAAGGCAATTACTACATTCTTTGTATACTAATACATCTGGGTACCTAAAACATGTTTTATTTTCATTTCAGGCTATTACCAGCTTTCTCACTTTACATTCATTCCATATATGGTAGGTCCTCGGGTTAGGTCAGAGATCCATTCCTATGGCGCAACATAACACAATTTTTGCCGTAAGTCAAAACCCACCTACATAAGCACCTGCATCACTCACATGGAGCACATACACAGCAGTAATAAAGTGAAATAGTAAAATAAAAATTAAAAGAAATATAACAATTCCTGACCTTTACTTGTGGTAAATAAATAATAAAAAACATAAAGCACATATGTACATACGTCAAAATGACGGAACTTTATTTTTTTTATAAATAAATGGGAGATGGTGATATAACCACAAAACGACGTATATTGAGTCCGACATAACCCGAGGACTGTCTATATATTCTTTGTATTTTAGAGATAGTTCCTGAAATTCAATATCCTAGCTGTACGTTAAGCCAGGTATTGTTTCAAACATAAATACATTTTTAAATTTATGTTTATTGTTGAAAGTATTACAGATGTCCCCATTTTCCTCCTTTTTACCCCCTTCACCCCGTTTCACCTCCTTCCCCCATAAGCTTTCACTGCAGTATTATCTGTGTCCATGGCATATAAATTATTTGGTTAATCTCTTCCTGCCCCTCCTCCCCACTTGGCAGCTCTTTAATTTTCTGTCTTCATTTGCACTTAATCACTAATTCATCCGCCCTGCAGTCTACAATTATACTAATGATAATAGCAATCGTAACTAACATTTATGGACTTTTTGTGTTAGAAACTGTCCTGAAGGGTGTGGATATATTATCTGGTTTCAATCATACTACAGGAAACCCATGTTATCACATTTATGTATATTAACCAACTCTGATTTACTTTCTGTTCCTGGTCCAAGGCCAAACACCCGAAAACACTGAGAAATGATTACTTGCACCCCGCTTCCAGTCACCTTCTCTTTTACATTGCCTCTGGGCTCCACCCTTTCTTGAAAAGTCACTGAGTGCTCCTCCCCCTCCTTCTTGTTAAACTTTGGCAACCATGGCAACCAATGCTTCTCTCGGTAGTCCGCAGGTAACGCGACCACCAGGGGTCAGGGGTCAGGGGTCAGAGGTCCCGCGACGTAACCACGCCTGCGAAGCGTAGTAACCTGACCTCTAAGCTGAGAGCGCGCCTACCAAGGGGCGGGGCTAAAGAGCCGACGTGTGCGCGCGCAGATTGTGACCGAGCCCGGAGCTTTCGACAGTCTGAGGGGGCGAATTCGTGTTCACTGGCTAGCTGGCGCGTCTCCTCCTTCTTAGTCTCTCAGCTTTGGACGGAGCAAGTTAGGTTTTGGAAATGAAGAGTGTACGCGATTTCCTCACCAAGCCTGGTGAGCGAGACCAGCCTCAGGCAGGCTCCTCACATGCTGGGGTGGGCCGGCGGGATCCTGAGGTAAATTGTCTTTGGGCCCCGGAAGGAGTGAGGCCTGAAGGCGGTGCCTCAGGGCCGAAGTCCTGGATCCAAAAGGTTCTTGAGCAAGTAATAGACTCACCTCTCCAGTGGCTCAGTCTCTCGGACGTGACTCCTGTCTCCGTGCTGGCCGTCCAACGGTACCTGCTAGACGAGCCTGGAGACGTAATTCCCAAACTATCCCGTTATCGGTACGATATTACGGTCTCGGACGGGGTGTATCAGGAAAAGTGCTTTCTCCATCCCAGACTGAACTTTCTGGTGTCTAAAAATATTCTCAGACCTGGCATCAAAATGAGAATTTCCAGAGTCTCGTGTCTTTACAACGAGAAAAGGGTAGGCCAGGGCATCTTGTGCATTGATAATGTCGACTGTAGAAAGGAGGGGACCTCGGACTCCATTTCTTTAGCGACTCCCTTCAGAAATAGTGCGCACCAGGAGATACCGGAGAGGCCCTTAAGAGGCGGGAAGAGTCATTACCTGGCCCTGTGGAATAACGAAGATCCGTATGGAGATATCTGGTTAACGAACAAGCAACCTGAGGAATACAATTTTAACAGTAAGTAATGGGAGGGAACCACGGGATGGGGTGTAAAAATAGTTTTGGGGTGCTTATGTTAATGGGAAAGGAAGCGGGAATGGCTTGGTATTGTTTATTGGGAGTGCTAGACAGTTTTTCCTCAGCGATGGAGAGATGCTCGCTTAATGAAATTTGCACAGCCCTTGTCTTGCTTTGATTGTGTAAGTGGCTGTTCAGAAAGTGTCTGAATAATCTTAATTTTTAAAAATTACGTCTTAAACTGATCTGTCAAACCTAGTGGTGTTGCAGTCAGTAGTCCTAAGTGTTCATTGTACGTTTGACCAGTGGAACTGATCTTAACGTCATTACCGTTCCAGTTGTGGAAATAGTACTGTGTTGATTAGAGTGTCTATTGATTTCAATTAGAAATAAAAAGTTGTAAATATTTGTGGTTTTAACCTTCATTCAAAAAAGAATGTTCTATGATTTATTCCTTAATAATTTAATGAAATGCCATTTTATGTCTTTGAGTGTAGCAGTTATGTAAATAATAGCTTTTCGAACTTGTGATTTTGTGGGAAGACTTGGAATTCTCATGTTTATGTTTCTTATGACCACGGGTAATGCTGATCTGAGAAGTTCAATTCTTCTGGGTCAGAAATAGGAAGTTAACTTGAAAATGTCAGCTGGTCATCAGCAACTGCTCTAAAATATGTTTTATCTTAAAACAATGAAGTAAAGGGAATGATTATATTATGGGTATGTACATGTATGGAATGGGGAAGAAATAAAAATAGAAAAAATACAAGCAAAAGTGTTAGAGGGAGAAAGATGATAATTTCTACATTACTGCTTTTCAGGTGTTTGGGATTTTGTTTTACTTTTTGGTTTTTGTGTTGTTTTTTTTACATTGGGCTCATAATACTAGACCATAGATAATCTTACTATGATGTGTAACAGCAACAAACTTGAAAGTAAAAAGATAACTGCTTCAAAAATATGCAGTTCAAGTGATACCCAGTTGTAAGGGGGGCGGGGATATTACAGAAATGGGAAGCCAATGATTATTTAAATAACTTAAGTTTTAAAGGCAAGATAGTAGTTTCAGAGATCAACTAATGGAATGATTTTTTATCTCAGTGGTGCATTACTACTATAAGGGTTGATCATTTTTATTTTTAGAATTTAATCTATAAATGAAAAATGGTACTCTAGAAGAATTTAGGCAATAATAATTTGTAAAAATTGGATTTCACTTTTTTGATCATGAAAGTAATATATGTTCATTATTGAAACCGTATTTTTATTACAAAAGGCAATGTCCATGTGCTAAAAATCCAAAGGTTTAAAAAAGTACATTGTATTAAAAATTTAAGACCCACGTACAGTAAAATTTTGATGACAAAAATCTAGAAGTAGGTATATTGGTGTTCTTTCAGGATTGCTGTATGTTTGAAATTTTTAATAAAATGTTGGGGTGGAATGAAAGGCCCCTTTTACCTCCTTCTATGCTTTCAGCTTTCTTCTCAAAACTCCAAACTGTCCGCCATTCGGTGTGTAACTTTGAAAAAAATAATTATTTGGTGTCACATGATTTGCAATTTCCACTTATCTTAAACATTTTTAATGACATCTTCATACACTCTTCCGTGTTATGGATGTATGATGATTTATATACTCACTAGAGCCCCCATGCATGAAATTCGTGCAAGGGGCTCAGCCCTCGCAGCCCCAGTTGCCTTGGCTGGCCCTTGCAACCCCAGCTGGACGTCTGGAAGGTCATTCGGCTGTTCTATATAATATGTTGATATATGATATATACACGTAATCTATGACATATATAGGATTCCCATGTAATGAGTAATTTGTAATTTTAGGAAGTTGGTGTGCGTTTTTTTCAATTTTAGATCCAAGGCGGAACATCATTAAGATATATACATATGTGCTCACTGTGTTTAATTATTTCTGTTGAATGGATGGATTCCTAAAGTGAAATTGCTTGTTTAAATATTTGGCCCTAGCTGGTTTGGCTTAGTGGATAGAGCGCCGGCTGTGGACTGAAGGGTTCAGGGTTCAATTCAGGTCAAGGGTACATGCCCGGGTTGTGGGCTTAATCCCCAGTAAGGGGTGTGCAAGAGGCAGCCAATCAATGATTCTCTCTCATCATCGATGTTTCTATCTCTCTCCCCCTCCCTTCCTCTCTGAAATCAATAAAAATATATTTAAAAAATAAATAAACATTTCTCTTGATAATTATAAAATATCAGCCTAAGAACTTTTCAAAGATACTTTTTTTTTTACATTCTCTTTGTATGGTACCATTTTGCTATGGTTGCTTTCTTTTTGTTCACTTATATCTGATATTTTAACCACTAAAATATAATTTTGAAATTACCACGAGATATTAAGTAGGATTTTTTCTTTTTTGTATTCTAGATACCAGAATAATTTCTCTTGCTCACCTTGAAATGAGCTGGACTAAGAGAACGAATTATCCTGCTTTGCTTGTGAGAATCATGCATAAATCAAGACTGAGATACTATGGAAAACCCGATAAAAAGATGATTGAGCCATACCAGGTATAAATAAGATAAGAGAGTACATGTTAATTTAACAGTTATAGATTATAACTTACAGACTAGAATAATGTATGTTAGAATAATGTATGTTTAAATAACATTTTAACTTAAATTTAATAATTTTTAAAATGTACATAGATGTTTATTTGAAGGTATTTTTCTAATGTAATTTCTTATAAAAATAAATTCTTTTTGTGTTGACAACCGTTAATTCCTTGATCCAGCCGGTCTCCTTCACACCTTTTTATATATCTTCAACCTTTTCCTCTCTACGGTGCTTTCTATACCAGAATATAAATATACTTTAGTCTCCCATTTTAAAAAAGGAAAATAATTATCCTTTGACCTCAGATTCCTCTATTCCCTCTCTCCTCTTCAGGCAAGCTCCTTGAAGAAGTAATCTACACTAGATGTTTTCACTTAACTTGCCTGTCATTTACTTCTCAACACAATTAGTTTGGCATTTTTCTTAAACTGCTCACTCACTAGAGACCTAATTGTCAAATCCATCTGACACGTTTCTGCTATCTTGACTGTCTGTGCCAAATAATGCTGATGAGAATACTTTCTTGATTTCTGTCCTTTTTTACTTAATATTTTACTTTATTTTCACTGTTATCAAGAATCACTTTGGGTGTTTCATTCACCTTTTAAAATAAAAGTTGTGTATTTATTTAGAGAATTTGGAAAATGTAGAAATCTATATAAGTAAGACTGATAAATAATATCACCCCAAATCATACCAGAATCACTGTTTGCATTATAATGTGTTTTATTCGTTTTGTATGTATATATCATATATCCACACACACATATATTCTATATGTGCACATATCTATGATATAATGTGTATAATATATTTCATATTTATTTGTATATGTATGCATGCATGTCTTATACTTCATATGACTATGTCATTTCGTATTAAATTAACTTACAAACTGGCAATTATATAGCACATAAAATTTTATATTAGTCAACATTCTCATAAGTATTTTCTAATATCACTAAAATTTCTTCATTATGCCTTTTCATAGTTATAGATTCTTTCATATATCATAAATTATTTAGTCATTCCCCTACAGTTTTACTTCCTCAGTCTTAAAATTTTAACATCCTGTAAATAAAAGTAACAAATATGTGTGTGCTTTTACTCATCTTTTCAGACCTTTTTGGAAGTTGCTGACAATTCAGGAACTGTATCAGTGATCATGTGGAATGCCCTGTGTCCTGAGTGGTATAAATGTTTGCAAGTTGGCTTAGTTCTTCTGCTTCAAGATTATTCTGTTAAAAAGAGTTTTCCATTCAGGCTGCCGCCTCTCCCTGTGGATCCACAGATCAAACAAATTTCTACTATGGGTTAAGTATTCAGTGCATTTTGTTTCTTTTATGACTATATATTTTTTTATAAATCTGCAAAGTACCATATCAGCCAAAGACTCTTTTTTTTTTTATTGATTTTTTACAGAGAGAAAGGGAGAGAGATAGAGAGTTAGAAACATCGATGAGAGAGAAACATCGATCAGCTGCCTCCTGCACATCTCCTACTGGGGATGTGCCCACAACCCAGGTATATGCCCTTGACCGGAATCGAACCTGGGACCTTTCAGTCCGCAGGCCGACGCTCTATCCACTGAGCCAAACCAGTCTCGGCTCAGCCAAAGACTCTTAAAAATTACTAAAGCTGTTAGAACCTGACAAACCTTTAAATTCCTGTATCGATAAAATTTCCAATCAGTCACTTAATGAGTATATTTATTTATTATTGCATTTATTAAGAAAAATTATCTGAGCAATTCATTGTTTATTAACAAGCTCCACTTAGGATTACTTATTTTTATTATCTTTTATTTTTCATTATAATATTAACTTAATGACTTGAATGTAATTTTTGTTACTACGAGCTACTATTCAAAAGGGCTTTTTTGAAATAATTTCAAACTTACATAAAAATTAGAATAGTATAAAAAATTTTATATACCCTTTACACAGATTGAACCATTGCTAACATTTACCTTGCCTTTATCATTCCCTCCCCCCCCTCTCTATCTATCTATCTCTCTCTCTCTCTGTCTCTCTCTCTCTATATATATATCCTAATTTTGTCATCTGAACCATTTTAGAGTAAGTGGCAGCCATTATACATACCTCTTTACCTTTAAACACATCATTAATCTTTCAGTATGTATTTCCTAAGAACAAGAACACTCTAGTACATAATTACAATACAGTTATCAAAATCAGAAAATTTAAAATTAATACAATACTGTTATCTAACCTATAGCCAATATTCAAATGGTGCCAATTGCTGCAATTTTGAAAGGGCTCTTTCTAATTAGTATTAAAATCAAAGTTATGACATCTTTGCATCACCCTAAATATTTTGGGAGCATTAGAATTAATATATTGTGATTGCTTTAAGAGTTGGATATGATATTTTCTTGCATTTCCATTTTTCAAAATTGTGAATTACATCAATCAAAAAGTATAAGTATTGTTTTTGCTTATAATAGTTTTATACTGGACCTGTATTTCTATATATTCTAAATTTCCTAGCTAATCCGTTAAGCTTAATTACTTAGAGAGTGTTCAGACAATGTAACCTTTATTCATTGTTTCCTTAAATATATGTTTATTTTGGAAAACCTCAGATGATTAACAATAGAAGGACATGCCTGAATGAACCATAAGTTTATAGAATGTTTTTCAAAATAATTAGTAATATGGGAACTGTAAAATAAGACCCCAACAAATTACCATTTTGTGTCACTAGACTGACAAATAATAAGAAATTTGATGATACCAAAATTTGGAGAGTATGTGGATCAATGGGAAATCTTAACCACTGTTGATGAAACTATAAAAAGTTCTTTAATTTAAAATAGTTTAGAATTATCCTGCCAAGGGAAATATTTGCATATTCTACAATTCTGCATTTCCCTCCTAAGTATAATACATTAGAAAACTCTTGCTTGTGTACACAGGGAGATATGTACAAAAAGTTCATCGTGGCACTCTTTATAGTAGCAAAAACTGGAAATAATCCAGATTCTGTCAACATGATAATGGTTAAATAAAATTGAAGTATGCCAACATCCAGGAGCATTATTCAGCAATGACTATGAGAAAAAAAAAACTGCTATGTGCAACTGCATGAATAAATTTTGGGACCATAATGTTAAAGGAAAAAAGTAGCCCTAGAATACTGTATATGATATGATTCCATCCATTAGAGTTCAAAAACAAAGAAATCCAAATGGTATTTTGTTTGGACAAAAACACATAAGTGATTAAATATCCTTTTTTTAAAATTAAGTTGATGATAAAACATAAAATTTAAGGTATGTTTAACCTTTGGTGGGGAGATAAGTGGATGTGAAAATGTAGCATTAGGTAAAGAAAGCTTTTGATAATGGCCTTGTTCTTAAGTTTAGTATTGGGCTCAAAAGTATTCAGCCTATTTTTTTCCTATGCAATTTGTACACATGTATATTATTTTATGTGCATTAACTATAATATTAAAGTGATATATTTGTTTTTCAGAGATCTGCCTGAACCTTCGAGATCCTCCAACTAATATAAATATCATTCCAGAAAGGCAGGTGAAACCAGAATGGAGATTGCCAAAGTTAAATCATCGCTTTATCACAAGGTAAAATAATTTCTTATAAAATATCCTATATAGCCCTGACCAGTTTGGCTCAGTGGCTAGAGCGTCGGCCTGTGGACTGAAGAGTCCCAGGTTCGATTCTGGTCAAGGGCATGTACCTTGGTTGCGGGCACATCCCCAATAGGGCGTGTGCAGGAGGCAGCTGATTGATGTTTCTCTCTCATGGATGTTTCTAACTCTCTATCCCTCTCATTTCCTCTTTGTGAAAAATCAATAAAATATATTTTTTAAAAAAAGGGTCAGCAGGCTTACAGTCATATAAAGACTTGCATTGGGCTAGATTAGAAGATCCTATTCCAAATTCACGATGTAGCTATTGACCAGGGACTTTATTTCTCCTCCATGTGGCTCTCTCCATACTGTTACTTATTTATCTTCATGTCACA